ATGCTGAAGGGGGTTAGCAGGGGTCAAAGTTCACCTACTCGCCATAAAAAAATAAACTGCTATATCTCCTACACAGAAACTCACAGGCACCAAAGTTTCTGTGATTGATCATTATCGGGTCTCCTACAATACCCTATGGTCGAATGATGACATCACTTAGGCCACGCCCCATGAGAACAGGAAGTGTCATGTTTTACTGTGGACGGTCGCTATCTGACCCCTTTGACCTCATCAACATGAAACTGTGCCCAGATACAGAAGACATGTTGGTGTATTGAGGATTCCAAGCCCATCCAGCTTCAATGGAGCAGGTGGGCGTGGCGGCGTGGCGAAGTGACCTCTAACGCCATCGCCATACGTTTGGCTCTCAATTCCACATTTTCGGGCCCAACTGCTCCAAACTCACAAGGATGGATCCTCATCCACTCCCCGACAGGAATCCATCACAATATTTGGTGGGCGTGGCCTAATTTCTCTATAGCGCCCCCTAGAAAACTTTAAATGATCAGCCCCAAGCCATGCTTTAACCTACAATTACGAAACGTTGTACACATGTGTACCATGTCAGGACTTACAAAAAGTCTCTTGGAGCCATGGTCTAAACCCCACAGGAAGTCGGCCATTTTAGATTGAAGTTCAAATTTTGACCCCATTTTTGCCATTTACAGCCTCCGTATTTGATCGAACTCCTCCTAGGGATTTCGATTGATCGGCTTGAAACTCGGTCAGTCTGTTCATAAGGCATGTCCCATCTAAAGTTATCAAAACGGTGAGTTTTTGAGAATGCTGAAGGGGGTTAGCAGGGGTCAAGTTCACCTACACGCCATAAAAACATAAACTGCTATATTTCCTACACAGAAACTCACAGAGGCACCAAAGTTACTGTGATTGATCATCATCGGGTGTCCTACAATACCCTATGGTCGAATGATGACATCACTTAGGCCACGCCCCCTGAGAAAAGGAAGTGTCATGTTTTACTCTGAAAGGTCGCTATCTGACCCCTTTGACCTCATCAACATGAAACTGTGCCCAGACACAGAAGACATGTTGGTGTGTTGAGGAATCCAACCCCGACCAGCTTCGATGGAGCAGCTGGGCGTGGCGGCGTGGCGAAGTGACCTGTAACGCCATCGCCATACGTTTGGCTCTCAATTCCACATTTTTGGGCGCAGCTGCTCCAAACTCACAAGGATGGATCTTCATCCACTCCCCGACAGGAATCCATCACAATATTTGTAGGGTGTGGCCTAATTTCTCTATAGCGCCCCTAGAATATTTTAAATGATCAGCCCCAAGCCATGCTTTAGCCTACAATTACGAAACTTTGTACACGTGTGTACCATGTCAGGACTTACAAAAAAGTCTCTTGGAGCCATGGTCTAAACCCCAGAGGAAGTCGGCCATTTTAGATTGAAGTTCAGATTTTGATCCTATTTTGGTGTTTATAAACCATTTCAGTAATTCGCCACTTGGGGTCAGTATTGCTCCACAAATGAAACAGCAGATAAACAGGATGAAGAACAATATCAGTATTTCGCCAGTAGGTGTCAGTGTTCCTCCACCAATGACAGATCCACGGGCGGATGGGCGCGAAAACTTTGTGAGAGCGTTGCCATGAAATTTCTAAAAGGATAGAAATGTCTCAGATAATTTTTGTTGAATTAAATCATGCAGTAAATGTAGCGTTTTCTTACTTCTTACAAACCATTTCAGTAATTCGCCACTCTGAGTAAGAATTACTCCAACAATGAAATAGAGTGCTTTAGAAACACAGCTGAAAAGATGAAAATGACGAACTGCAGTATTTCGCCATGTGCATATGATCGGCTGTAAATTACACGTGGATCTTCCGACTGACGCCAAATTGGATACGTATGACCTTTGTTTGACCTCTAAAGAGAACAACAGCATTGAAATATATTTTGGCTCCACTGCGCGTCCTACATTAATCCGCCAGCTATATTTCCTCGCTAAACCAATGAATCTGCACCACATTTTTTGCATCGTCAAGGAGCGCCTCCAAACGCATCAGTGCGTACCGCCTGGTGGACGGGCGCGGAAACTGCGCAACAACTTCTGTGTTAGCACGTGGCCAGCGTTGATGGAAACTGAGCAACAGCTTCCGCGGTGCGGGCGGAGGAGCTGAAAACTGCGTGAGAGCTTCTGTGGTGGCTGACGTGAGGCGACGGTTGCTAGTACCCCGCGGTGGCAATAGGCCGGAGCGGCGCTTGGCTGCGAGGGCCGTTCGAGGCTGCTTGCAGCTTTAATTATTATTATTATTATTCTTCCACCCAAATGAATTGGCTTTTTGAGGGCTTTATCATATTCAAAAACTCACCAAACTTGGCGGACGCGTAAAGGGAGTTTCAAAATTTTGTATTTTAAGGTCAATGCAAAAATCCCATAAGAAATGGCTCAATAGCGCCACCTAGAAATTTTCTAAGGACCCTTTGCTATTCACTTACTTATCCTAGAGACATGAAATTTTGTACACTTGTAGAGCTCCCCAGGACGCTCAAAATTTACAATTAATGTCATAGTGCAAGTATCACAGGAAGTCGGCCATTTTGGATTGAAGGTCCAATTTTGAGGCCATTTTGGCCGTTTACAGCCTTCGTATATGATCGAACTCCTCCTAGGGATTTCGATTGATCGGCTTCAAATTCGGTCAGTCTGTTCATAAGGCATGTCCCATCTAAAGTTATCAAAACTGTGAGTTTTTGAGTATGCTGAAGGGGGTTTTGCAGGGGTCAAAGTTCACCTACTCGCCATAAAAACATAAACTGCTATATCTCCTACACAGAAACTCACAGAGGCACCAGAGTTACTGTGATTAATCATCATTGGCTGCCCTACAATACCCTGTGGTCGAATGATGACATCACTTAGACCACGCCCCCTAAGAACAGGAAGTGTCATGTTTTACTGAGAATGGTCGCTATCTGACCCCTTTGACCTCATCAACATGAAACTTTGCCAAGACACAGAGAACATGTTGGTGTGTTGAGGATTCCAACCCGACCAGCTTCGATGGAGCAGGTGGGCGTGGCGGCGTGGCGAAGTGACCTGTAACGCCATCGCCATACGTTTGGCTCTCAATTCCACATTTGCGGGGGCAGCTGCTCCACATTCACAAGGATGGACAGTCATCTACTCCCGGACAGGAATCCATCACAATATTTGGTGGGCGTGGCCTAATTTCTCTATAGCGCCCCTAGAAACTTTAAATGATCAGCCCAAGCCATGCTTTAACCTACAATTACCAAACGTTGTACACGTGTGTACCTTGTCAGGACTTACAAAAAAGTCTCTTGGAGCCATGGTCTAAACCCCACAGGAAGTCGGCCATTTTAGATTGAAGTTCAGATTTTGACCCCATTTTTGCCGTTTACAGCCTTCCTATTTGATCGAACTCCTCCTAGGGATTTCGATTGATCGGCTTCAAACTCGGTCAGTCTCATAAGGCATGTCCCATCTAAAGTTATCAAAACGGTGAGTTTTTGAGAATGCTGAAGGGGGGTTAGCAGGGGTCAAAGTTCACCTACTCCCCATAAAAAATCAACTGCTATATCTCCTACACAGAAACTCACAGAGGCACCAAAGTTTCTGTGATTGATCATCTTCGGTTGTCCTACAATACCCTATGGTCGAATGATGACATCACTTAGGCCACGCCCCCTGATAAAAGGAAGTGTCATGATTACTCTGAACGGTCGCTATCTGACCCCTTTGACCTCATCAACATGAAACTGTGCCCAGACACAGAAGACATGTTGGTGTGTTGACGATTCCAACCCCGACCAGCTTCGATGGAGCAGCTGGGCGTGGCGGCGTGGCGAAGTGACCTGTAACGCCATCGCCATACGTTTGGCTCTCAATTCCACATTTTTGGGCACAGCTGCTCCAAACTCACAAGGATGGATCTTCATCCACTCCCCGACAGGAATCCATCACAATATTTGTAGGGTGTGGCCTAATTTATCTATAGCGCCCCCTAGAAAATTTTAAATGATCAGCCCCAAGCCATGCTTTAACCTACAATTACGAAACTTTGTACACGTGTGTACCTTGTCAGGACTTACAAAAAAGTCTCTTGGAGCCATGGTCTAAACCCCAGAGGAAGTCAGCCATTTTAGATTGAAGTTCAGATTTTGATCCCATTTTTGGCGTTTATAAACCATTTCAGTAATTCGCCACTTGGGGTCAGTATTGCTCCACAAATGAAACAGCAGATAAACAGAATGAAGAACAATATCAGTATTTCGCCAGTAGGTGTCAGTGTTCCTCCACCAATGACAAACAGATCCACGGGCGGATGGGCGTGAAACTTTGTGAGAGCGTTTGCCATGAAATTTCTAAAGGATAGAAATGTCTCAGATAATTTTTGTTGAATTAAATCATGCAGTAAATGTAGCGTTTTCTTACTTCTTACAAACCATTTCAGTAATTCGCCACTCTGAGTAAGTATTACTCCAACAATGAAATAGAGTTCTTTAGAAACACAGCTGAAAATGATGAAAAATGACGAACTGTAATACTTCGTCATGTGCATATGATCGGCTGTAAACGTGGATCATCCGACTGACGCCAAATTGGATACGTATGACCTTTGTTGACCTCTAAAGAGAACAACAGCATTGAAATATATTTTGACTCCACTGCGCGTCCTACATTAATCCGCCAGCTATATTTCCTCGCTAAACCAATGAATCTGCACCACATTTTTTGCATCGTCAAGGAGCGCATCCGAACGCATCAGTGCGTACCGCCTGTTGGACGGGCGCGGAAACTGCGCAACAACTTCTGTGTTAGCACGTGGCCAGCGTTGATGGAATCTGAGCAACAGCTTCCGCGGTGCGGGCGGAGGAGCTGAAAACTGCGTGAGAGCTTCTGTGGTGGCTGGCGTGAGGCGGCGGTTGCTCGTACCCCGCGGTGGCAATAGGCCGGAGCGGCGCTTGGCTGCGAGGGCCGTTCGAGGCTGCTTGCAGCTTTAATTTTCTTTTATCCCTCCAAGGCTTTCAATGTGCAGACAAAAAAGAAAGGGAGGTGAGGGGTTTTCATGTTGTTGGCCCATTGAAAATTAACTGCTTTATTTTCTGTGAATATAAACTGGCAGTATTTACAAACCAAACCACACAGCCTTACATACCTGATGCATGAATTACCAAGAAGAGGTTTGACAATTCAGAGACGGGCTATTGAGTGTTGAAAAAGAAAACAGGCGTATAGGAAGTAACCCAGAGATAACAAGGTACATTAACTTTTAACTCTGCTCCTGTCAAACAACAGCATTCGGCAGCAGTGAATGCCACAGCACTACAGCATACAAACTTAGCAACAGTAAGGGGACAAAGTATACTGCAGGATCTTAAAAGGTGCATCGTCGTATCTGTGTTTCTGATGTCTTCTCGATTGGTGGTTTCTCTCGATTCTGCGGTGCACACTGTTCATATGCCCGGTGATTAGGTGTCAACAACAGTCACGCCAACTCTGTTCAACAATAGCAGAAACCCTCTTCTCATACTCCCGCTTGTTTTCCTGGTAAAGCTGGGCTGCTTGGCTGTTGGCTGGACTGTTCGGGTTTGGCTCGTCCAGTAAAGACTAAATATTCAGAAAATATCAACTGTTTAGTGTCCCAAGTCAATACATAACTTCCACAAGTCTGAATCGGAAGTGATCCGTGTCACTGAACCGCCATCTTGGTAGCCAAGTGAACTATGGCTTCGAGACCAACAAAAAGAAACCATTTTGACACTCTTGACCAATGAGCAAAAGAAAGACACAAACAAAATACCTATGCTTTGCTTACAAAGATGGCTGCTCAGTGGCTCAGACCACTTCCGGTTCAGACTTAAAGGTTTTACACTCAGCTGTATGGTTCTGTAAAGTTGTATTACCTGTATTGAAGTTAAGATAGAAGAAACATCATAGGTTGGGCTCCAGCGATTCTGAAGTATATCTAAGCATATGCTACCATCTGCATACACTGCAACAGAAAACAAAAAAAGCATTTCTTACTTTAAGCTTTCAGTTTACCTAAGATTAAAAAAAATAAAATATGTTGACATACCATTAGGATGGAACATTTTGGAGACGAATCTCACTGTTGGAGGTTTATTAGGATATTCTTCTGTGAATTCAATGGTAAGTTTGAAGGTTCCTGAAAGCAAAAAATTGTAAATTATAAGCTGAAATTAACGATCTCAAACTAATTTATTTTATGTTCTATTAAAATTCTCCAAATGAATACCAACTTTATTTCTGTGTGTAATATTTAAAACAATTTAAAGACTGAGTATTTTTTTTTCATGTTTTAAGAAAATAAATAAGTGGAAAACATACCATCTTCAAAAGGCGTTCCCTCTGGCCTACATAAAAAGAAAAAACAGATACATATCATTTTCCAAATGTCTGGCCAACTCCAGTAATTGGCAGTAAAAGTTTGTTTTCCACTGACATTAAATGGATAACAGTTATGACACCATATAACTGTTATATAAAAGAGTGTTGCATCAAAACTTCACTGCAGGGTGAAAGAAACAAAGTTCAATGGCATGGTTAGAGATTGGCAAAAGTCCTGAATGTTTCCATTTTGTGACTTCAGCTGGTTTGGAAATCACTTTAATTAACATCTGCAATTGAAAATTAGTAACAAATTCTTCTTTGACATTTTAACTGAAGCTTTCTTTCCTTCTTGACATTCTGTTAGCCATTTTGTTGCTCCAGACGAGCAAAAATACCTTTAGAAAGATTCACAACCAAAATTCATCTGGAATCAATGCAGCAGTTTTTCCACATGCTGCTTCTGTCTTGTAGCAGTCACTTGTTCTTAGCATTACTTGCTATTATCAAGTCTTAACACCAAGTATAGACATCAGAATTTTAATTTCATACTTTCAAATTGATGGCAGCCCCAAACAATTACTACTTATTATCATTATTAGCGATGCATCAGTCATTTTTTCTTTCTTTCTTTACAGCCGATGCCGATTTTCAGCTAGCTATAAGAAAATATTTTCAGTGGACAGCCATGGTGCGGACACTAAAAATGTGCAACCAATCACTCTTGCTAAATGTACTAAAGTTAGTAAACCACAAGCAGAAAGCCTGAACGATTTCATTTATAAGCCTGTTAGTGAATGTTTATTCTAACGTTTTTCCTCAGATCTTTTCATTTAAACCAAAAAGCGTAAATACATGTGATTATTTTTGTAATGGTATTTTCTAAAGTAATTTGTTTTAAATAAATGATGTTACTTTTTGCATAAATTTGTTTTGGCAATTGCTAGGGCTGTTGCAATAAACGATAAATTAATTAATTGCATGATAATTTAAAACAAGCTCAAAAATTTCCATTTGCATGATTTAGAATTTTTGTCTTTCTATCAAAAACTGAATAATAAAAGTCTTCAGTATGGTGCTTTGGTCTCAACCATTCCTTTTTCGAAGGATAATTTAGTTTTCAGAGATTTAATAATTCATCTTATTTGTTTCTGTTGTTTTATTTACTTTGGATATTTAAAATGTCATAGTTTCAGTGTTAAATGCTCATCAGAATTTAAAGCATTGTTATGCCATTTCCATTACATTACTTGAAAATGGACACAAAACAATATTACTGTTGCATTGTACAGGAAAAAACATAATTTTTCAATATATTTTCAATATGGTCTGATGAATACGGATTAGAATCATTCAAGGGGAAATTGGCTGATCTACTGCTGATGACCTCGATTTTATCTGATTCACTTACCCGAAAATGACTGCGTTCCAAACCATGATATTATTTTCTGATGGGGCTCCGCTGACTCCAGCAGGGGGATCCTCCTGCAGCCTGAATGCAAACACATCATTAGAATATGTTCATAGAGAAATCGAATCAATCACTGCTGCATTACGTTTCTTTGGTATGAATAATGAAATTTCTAATGGAGCTTATAATGGGTATAAAATATTAAGTAGCGATTATTCTAAAACTTTTGTGTGACACTACTGGTCAAAAGTAATTGCACTCAGAACAACTTTTGAGGAAATGCTGTGTGCTTTTGTTGAGATAGACATAAATATGATGTACTGTCCAGCACTAATAGGAAACAAAATAAACTTTTAGCTGAATAAAAAGGACTAATAACTTACTTATTAGTAAATTATTACTAATAAGTAATTACTTACTTATTAGTAATTACTAATAAGTAATTAATTACTTATTAGTAATTACTAATAAGTAATTATAAGTCATTCTAATTACTTATAAGTTAATTATAACTTATAAGTATAATTCACTCTGAATAATAATATTTTAACCATCTGTTCTATCAATCATAATAGGCAAAGATCATATCATCGACTTCAATATCACTCTTTAATAATACAGCTAAAAGGAAGTGGCTAAAGCAAATGAGATGGGTTAGCAGTGTTTGCCTACAGGACATGTTACTGTAGAATATGGTCAGTTGCATTTCCACTGAACACCTAATTGTGCAATTTGTCATTTTGAAAATAAATTTGCTTACTGGAAACACGCCAATGTCGGGGAAAAAAACTTTTTTCATAAAAGTTTTCGGTGATAGGATGATGTGTTTCTTTTCTTGGCTGTATTCAAGTTGGTTTATTTCACTAAATTGATATGGAAACACTTTTTTTGCACTATGGTGAGTAACATGATTAACAATAGATGTTGCCACTAGCAAACCCTGATGACGACAACAGAAAGTAGTTGGATGATTGTTGCATGTTTTATATTTACTTATCTTGTGAACAAATGTATTCACATGCCAATTTAATTGCGTTTCGTATTTAACAGAAACACCGTAATTGCGAAATATTGACAAAATTCTGCGCACATTTGTAATTGAAATCCAGAAATGTTCAGAAATTCAGTTCTGGCATGTATGTCAGTCAGCAACAGTCTTCAGTCAGAGGCCTCTTCAGAATACAAGACTGACTGCTACTGGGAATCCTTTGAAGATAATTAAACAATAGGAGTTGCTATTTTTAATTATCTCTTGGAATAAATAAAGTATTTTCTTTTATTGAATAGGGATAACTTTAATGAAAAAGACAACATCCAATTGGAACTTATGCATTTTTTTGTGATTTGGGGCCTCAATCTTTTGCAGGTTTCAGTGTAAAACTGAGGACATGCATTACCCCAAAGTATTAGTTTTAAGAAATGCCTTTTTTACCCAAAAAATACCATTCACTTAGCATTTTTTCAAGGTAAACAGACTCCATTTCTTAGTTAAGCCCGTAAAAGAACAATGTAACAGAGATTCCTACTGTGGTGCCAAACTGGATCAGATCATTAAACCAGTGGTCGTTAGTGGAGTCAAACTGGAACATACTTAGATTAACAATGTGCCGCAGATAGCTGTGCTTAGTGAGTGCAGGTGTTCAGTCTCTCCATGGCAGATGGTTGCTGATCCCCAACCTTAAGCGATGATCTGTCACGGCCCGGGTTAGGGCAGAAGTGACCTTTCCTCTAGCCGAAGGACCATATGGCCACTGACTTCAACTACATCCGCGCATCTCTTCAAGTCTCCGGGAAACGTATACACTTACAAAAAAAGGGCTATATTTGTGGCTCGTACACCATCAAAAGCAATAACTGGTCCTGAATTACACAACGCAGACGTTACAACCAAAATCTGGTTTGCTTACGCCGGTAGAAGCAAACCTGTTGGTTAAACGTTACGAACAGTTTCCTATTAAACTAAACTGTAATTGCAAACAAGTAACACTAACTACAAAATACATTTAGTTGACATTTACAGATCTGTTTGACTATTTTGTGGTTTACATTGTATTTGTCACTTGAGCTAATGCTATAAAAAAATAGCTTCAGGATGCTAATGTTAGCTACTTCTGTTCCCCCCTATAACTTACCGTTTAAAGTCTCTCATTAAACGTCGCCGTGCTGGAGTTGACATCGTGCTAATATGAAAAACTAAGGCCTCAACAAACAAACAAGTGAGCTCAAAAGATAGCGAGATCTTCCGTAAGGTGTTATATTTTCTCAACTGATAGCAGGGCAGTCAACGTTTGCTAGTAGTTTGACAAATACTTGGCTGCCTCTCGTCTGAAACGATACCATTTACACCACGGAGGGGAGGCTGCTTTTGATAAAATTTTAATATTACATGCCAACAAAATCACAACAGCGTAGTATGAGTAAATTACAGTATGTAGAATTGTAGCGTTTTTGCTGAAGCCCGACTAAACTCTTTATTGCATTTTTAAATTAGTCGAGGGACCCTATCTTTTCAGTTGGATTGCTCCACATGATTACGTCATATGTTTGCTACCATGTTTCGTTTTGTTGGGGAAGCAAAAGACATTCACTATAGCTTCACAGTATATCTGGTCCTCATTTGCGTTCGTTGATATTTAATCTTTGTCAGATTAAACAATTTGTGCTCAGTCTAATCATCTGTTTTAAAAGAAAAGTGTTTCAAGTTTCTGTATGTAGTGCCGGTGAAAGACCACAAGATGGTGCTAGGACCCATGTATCCATGTATCGTAGTTCCCCGCGAGACGATACGTCAGCGCGTTCGCTATGTTGTGAGTGGCTTACAAAGTAATTTTTTTGTAATGAAAGTTATAAAGTTTACTTTTCACTAATCTTAATGGTTTCAAAATGCCTTGAATAATGTTTTTCAACTGTTAATATTGGTGATGAGACAAAATGAATAATACTTGCAATTCAAAATAGAACAGAACAATCACAATTAAATACAATGTGGTAAGGCACATAAACAGCTGAAACTATGTAGGAAACACATTGAATACTTAAGTCAATCAGAATAATTAAGCTGAATTTATTTGAACTACTCTGATTTGATTACAAAATATTTTAGGGTTAGGGTTAGACTTTTATTCTTGTTTTAAAAATATTTTTAAAAAGTGGTAAAATTGGCTCATTTCTTTTTGTAAAGTCAATGTCTACTATTTATAAAAGACCTTCCCATGTAGGGCACACGTACAGCCAAAAACCCTCGCCGTTGTCTGTCATGTATAAGTCCCATATGGTCTAGCGGTTAGGATTCCTGGTTTTCACCCAGGCGGCCCGGGTTCGACTCCCGGTATGGGAACTAGCTTTTTCATTGTTAAACAACTATTATTTTAAAATCTTATCCTTAACGTAGCATAGCAGCAGTCGGATGACGTTCAAACATCACCCGTTAATGTTTTCCGAGGAGCACAAAAAAAAAAAAAAAAAAAAATCCCCACAGACCCCGCCCGTTCAGGAATTATCGTGTATTACCCTCATCCCACATTGGACATTCATTCCCGGAAGATGCACATTACCAGTTGTTTCTCTGTGTCAGTTCTTATCAGTCAGCGGAGTACAGGCGAGGAAAGCAAACGGCACTTTCGTCCGCAAAATTACGCGTTCGAACCTACCAGTTTCCAAATGAACACCTGCGAGTGAGTAACGTTTCATAAAACGCATTTATTGTCCAGCCTGTTTGATGTTAATCTCCCGTTAATGACATAAAAATCCCTCCTTTTTTGCTCCGGACTTTTAAGAAAGCGGGATATGATGATGTGAAATAAAAAGTAACTTAATTTCAACCTGTCCTGCCCCCTCGGTGCTGACAGGAGGACTCGCAGGGCTTTTGACAAACTTTGCTGTCGGGCCAATTATTTCCCAGGAAAATGTGACTGCGAGGAATTCCCCACGCATCAGAAGCCTCTGTCGGAGAAAACCGCGACCTTGTGTCAGGAAGCACACGAAAGCAGCAGCGGGAGGGTAAAATCTGAGGCTGCCAGAACGATGATGTAGCTTTAGCACCGATACAGCCTGCAGAGTCGCACCAGAAGGAGTCATTATGTATCTGGATGTTTCTACGGACCTGTAGAAAGCCCGGATTGTGCTCCAGTGATGACATCTTCTTCCAAGGTAAGTACAAACAGGATTTACATACAATCTCCCATGTTAGTGTGACTGTTTGCTGGGAATTAGTATATTTTTTTATTATCTAGTGGGGAATATAATGTGAAGCCTGAAGGGTGGCATCAAGAGTTAGTTGTGAATGCTACAAGTACAAAACTGTGTGTGCTGTGAAATGAAAAGATGTTATTAATAACCAGCTGGAGTACACCACCCTGAAGGTCTTTCCCCACACTACTCCATAGATTACAGTGACTCCCCTTTGTGTCAGTCAGCTGGCATGTGACCACACTGAGACCACGCTGAAAAGTCTCTGCACTTCTTATAGCAGTCACAAGTCACAGAAGAATACAGCTGTTGTTTTGTGTCTGGCTTGCTCGTTATTTGAAGGAGTGTTTTGTTATGAGCAGTATACAGTTGTGTTGACCTGGTCAGAGGCAGCGCCTTGCAAGAGTTTTCACTCCCCTTCAATTTTTAATCATTTTTGTTACAATGTTTAGCATTTTGTGGGATGTTGGGTGTAAGTTCAGGAGTTTCTGGAAGTGCTGGAGCATTAAAACAAAGTTATGTCCCTTAACTTTATTCAACTAAATAAAAAAACTGGATTTCTGGGCCTGAAGAGAAATGATTAAGAGTCAGCATACACCTTCTGCTGTTACCTAGAAACTAGTGATCAGACCCGAAACCTCGTAGTGATGGATTCAGAACTGAACCCTTAGAGACGCATAAATATAATTACAAAGTCAGTCTTCTATCACCTGAAGAACATTTCCAGGAATTAAAAACTAATGTCTGGGGTGCATCGATTGCAGTTTTTTGGCCTATCGCCGATTACCGATCTTTAATAAGCCTAACCTACCAATTTTTTGACTGAAATGTTACTAAATACAGCAAGAAAGTCACTGATTTGGAAACAGTTGTAAACTGCAAACAAGACCTTTTGCAAAGTCAAAGGACAGAGTGGCTGATTTTTAGACCTGTGCCAACGTGGATGCAATTTGTGGATAAGATTGACACAAATTTAAGTGTTGGTCGATCACCAATACCCCAAAATTAAGGAAGTTGGGGCCGATCATTGGTGCACTCCCACTAATGTTCCAACAAGATCTTGAGAGATCTATTGTTGTATCAACCTTTCAGACCAATCAGGTCTTAAGGTTCTGGTGGACTCTGGACCCCCAGAACCGAACATGGAAAAGCACCATTGAGTTTTTATGTTTTTCTCATCTGAAACAAACTTCCAGAAAACTGCAAAACAGCCGAAATCCTGAGTTAATTTAAATCAAGACTAAAACCAATTTGTTCAGTTGCCTTCCCAACTGAATCATGATTAGTTTTAGTCTTTATTTTAAATTTTCATTACTTTCCTGTATTATACCACTACAATATAATGTATGTTTTTACATTATAATCATTTCAAGCACTTTGGATTATATTGCTGCTCAAATAAACTTGCCCTGCCTTAGCAATTACAATCACAGTCTAGCTGAGACGCAGTAGTGTGTAATTGAGTTCTAATTTTTGAAGATTTTAAGATATAAAATGCTTCATATTCAGCCCCCTTTACTCTAATCCCTCTAAATTTGTTGATTTTGTTGAAAATAAGTGGGCCAAGTTTAGACCCAATTGGCATTAATGAGGTCAGATTGTCACAGATTGATGGAATAATTAGGACTGTGCATCTCCCTAAGCTCACCATCCCTCGTCATAAAACACAGTAGAGGCTGAATCATGCTGTGGGAAAGTTTTTGTTTTCAGGAAATACAGGCCACCTGGTTTTTGTTGATTGAAATGGTGTAAAACTTTTTAGAGTTTGCAAGAGATTTGAGTCGCCTTCAGTTAGGACAAAATCACATTTAAGTTTCTTGTTCTAACATGAAAAAAATATGGAAAAGTTGAAGTTTCCATTACTATATAAGGTATGAAGTTGAGCGTCCAGCTTTGTTTAGCTTAAAAACAAGAAATAAAAACCTGCTAGGAGGCGCTGGTGACGCAGAGTGTGTCACTCTTTCCTTTAGACCGTTCCAGGCTGAACATATTGACTGAAACTCAAAGACGTGATCAGATCACGTCTGAATAAATGCTACGTGTTTTATACAAATCCATGTCTGCAATGATTTTTTTCTTACTGTTCATCCACCCTAATCTGTGGGGAGTCAAAATGTTTGCCAGATGTTTACATTTTTGGGCTGAGATGCTTGTATCCTGGGACAGACAAACAGTGTTTCATTGGCTGGCCAGCGTTGCTCACTTCAGAGCAGGCAGTGGTGACGCAGAGGGAAGGGAGGAGAGTTACGAAATGTTAGTTTTACCGTCCCACTAGAGCAGTGCTTCTCAAATAGTGGGGCGGGCCCCTTTGGGGGGCGCGGTGCGATACCTGGGGGGGCGTGTGATCCTGGGGAACAGGCTTTTTTTTGGCCGTACTAGTATAAAGTGTAATTGCGCACAGTAGGCGGCAGTGGCGCTCTCATTGTTACTTCTGTCACGTTTGCGACAGTGCAACATTTTACGACTTACAAGACAACAGGTTTGCCTTGGTTAGCAGTGTTAAGTCAACAAAAAGCTCTGACTGCGTTCTGTCTATGGCCTCCGTTATTCAACAACCCCCAACATGAAAAAGTTTTTCACAGGGATGAAAAGAAACGCGGAGAAAGACAAAGATAATGAGACAACAGAAAGTCAACCGAAAGCTAAGAAGAGGAAATACGACGAAGCGTATTTAGCGCTTGGCTTCACTGTGACTACAGTTGGAGAAGAGGAAAGACCGGTGTGTTTGCTGTGTCTAAAAATGCTCGCAGCGGACAGCATGAAGCCAAATAAATTAGCGCATCACTTAAATATGTTACATCCCAATCACGCTGATAAGCCGCTAGAGTTTTTTCAGCGAAACAAATGTTATGCAGAGATGGATAGTCACGGTGGGGAATGGGGGGCGCGAATAGTTTCTTCTTGCTAGGGGGGCGTAACGGAAAATAATTGAGAAGCACTGCACTAGAGAGAGGACCAGCCGTCCGACCCGCCACCCCTCCACCGACCCCTCCCTTCCTTCAGCCCCTCTGAAGTCTTCCCATGGTGGGAACACTGGTGGATAATTGGAAACTTCAGTCCCTGAAACAATTATCAAGGCTTTCCAAATATACTCCATCATGAAGTCATCCTGTTTGTTTCAATCGTTTGCCCTTGCTT